ATATAAAACATGCGTCACGTGACCGATACATGATATACAATTTTCGTGACCTAGGATGACCTTGCCGGACCTGAAAAAAAAAAATCGAAGTAAGAGTTCGGTACCTTCAGGGTATCAAGGAGTGCGTAAAACAAAAATGAGCCTGATCGGACTTGTCAGCCGTCGGCCAGAGCCTAAATTGTAAACAAGCAAAAATGCCGATAACTTTTACTTTGACCTGACCTGTGACGTCATCGGTGACCTCGAGGTCAATGAAAGTAGGCTTCGCTCGACAGTTTTTCCAGGGCTATCAGACGCCGTTTGAATTTTGACGATCGGCCCAGTAGTTTCGGAGATAAGAGGGAGGAGGGCTCTGGAGAGCCCCCCTCAGTCACTCGCGGTATGGAAAATACCCCAGTCATGCGCGGGTTAACTTGTGCACCTGTGATTTGTGTGCACCTGTGAAATTTGCTTAAATTCGCCTGAGATCATCTCAGGTCATGAAACGTCTCCAACAGTTTTTTCGACAAAAGCTTTAGATAAAAACATGCTAGAGCGATGAACACACTATGAAGGTGTTCAGCTCAACAATACGAATCGAATGGCATGCAACATGACCTTTTCCACGACCTTGACCTGTAGTGAAATTTTTTCAAGTTGACCGTTTCAGGTCAACTTATAGTTCATTTGACGCGTCTCGACGAAACAAACGCGATGCTGGTAAAATCAACGTCATGCAAGTTTGGAGTCATAAGCTATGATACAAAAACATTTCCCGCAAAAAAAAACGTCAGATTTTGATAGATTTTCCCTCTGGAGGCTAAACCATTGACCTTAGGTCAAATTTGAGAATAAAAACTGAGCAAGGCCTTTGAAAGAGCTATCGAATGCGCTTTTCTGCAGGTTTGTAGCTCCTATTGGTTCCCGACTTATGCGCCGATTTGTAAAACGTTGTCAAAATCGGAAACAAAAGTTCGTGAAAATTATTCATTTGGCAACCTCCAGTGACCTCAGCGATGACCTGATCAAAAAATGATCTTCATGATTCTAAAAGATCTTGTAGCGAACTGTCTACTGCCCTTTACCCCGTCTTTCTAGCTTGCTTACTTTCCGAGATAAACTGGACTGGCCAAAAAAGGCCGCCACCATGGCGAAGTTGGCTGAGAGGCCCACCAGAGCGCAGGTTATCCCGCGCACCGACGGGGGTCTGCGCCAACTTCGTACCGACGGGGGGGGGGGCGGATGACCGCCCCCCTGAGATCTCGAGAACGAAGCAAGATAGCGACAAGCGGTAAACGGCATCGGATACGCACGGCCAAGATCTACAATTTTTACTAAGGTCATTTTCAGGTCAGGTCAAAGATGACGTCACAGGGGTCGAAAAAGTCAAAATGGCGGCGCTAGATATGGAGAGAGTTTTTCTCGAATAACTTTCGAATTAGTCAAGATAGGAACAAACTAAGGGCATCATCGTGATCCTCTCGTCAATCCGCATCGAATGATATATATGTTGACCTCGAAAGGTCAAGGTCAAAGGTTGACCTCAGGTCACGTGACCTCGAGGTCATCATGTATATCATTCGATGCGTCTTGACGAGCTGAACACAATGAGACCATCCACGCGTCTGTATCTTGTTCCTGTACGGAGTTATTGGCCAAAAACCTTTGGTGACCTTTGATGACGTCACATGACCTCACAGCTGCCCAACAGCAAAACAGACCTCAAGGTAGTGAAGGTTGATCGTATATGAAGTCATGTATGGTATATGGGGCCATTCCGACCCGTTTTAGTGGTAAAAACAGGGAGTTGATTTTTCCCCCATTGACTTATAATGGGGAGGTCGCGAAATTGACCTGACCTTAGGTCACCGATATCAAAATTCCGAGATATACAAATTGTAGCTACTAATGACCTAATAATATCCTGCGACTTTCAAAGGCCTCCGACATCTACTGTAGCTCTGGCACGGTGACAAAGTTGCAAAAAAGTGACTTGAGGTTGGGTCATTCAAAGTGACCTGGTGACCTGACCTTAAAAGATAGGAGATTCAAACTTGCACACCATGTGTAAAATTGATGAGGTTATAGTCATACCAAATTTCGCGGCGCTACACGCCGCGGTTTTCCCGCTATTCGCGAAAAAACTCAGGGGGGGGGGGCGGATATCCGCCCCCCCGTCGGTGCGAGGGTTAAAATTGGGTATCATCGACTTCCTCTTGTTGCGGGCAATACGCTCGTTTTGTTTCCCGAAGCTCTAGCTCCACCAGAGGCCAAATGGCAAGGAAGAACGAACTCGCCCCCCCCCCCATACGTTTTACGCTGGCAAAACACCAATACGGGTTAAAATTCAAAACTTACCACAAGTGACCTCATGAAGCCTCAGTACGGTTCCGATCGAAATATGACCTAGTTGCAACCAGGGTTGTATACCAATCAAGTCGATTGAATTGATTGATTTGTTTCAACGCGTATTTTGAGTTGATTGGATTGAGTCGATTGACTTTTCGAGATGACTGGTTGACTGACTCGTTTGACATTAGCGACTGGTTGACTGATTTGATTCCCGAAAATTAGAGTGACTCGTATGATTGAGTCGATTGAATGGAAAGTTCAAATAAGTTTTAGTTGACGAAAAATAATGACACCAATTGATGACATCAAAGATCACAAAACTACACTGAAAACTGCTTGTCATCATAACTGCAATATGGGGTAGAAGGCCAAATAAAGAACAGGGCCTAAACATGAACAGCCAACTTTGACTTTCAACTGCAATAACTGCTCCAATCCTGGTGATAGAACCTGGCGATGCACCTACCTACCTTTCTGCACTCAGCAGGAAACGTTTTTTTTAATACAGATGATAAAGTGCAAGGCCCTATATACTAATAAAGTGTGATTAATTAATAATTAACATCTCCACATCTCCTCAGAAAACAACCCACTGAACCAGGCCCATGTCACTCCACTTTTGATGACATCATATGGGGGCCTCAGGACAATAATGGCGCGGCGCGCCACAATCGCTTCAAAGCTACTTGCCAACAGTTGCCATTTTTGAAAATATTATTTTGAAATAAAGTTCCAAGCAATAAAAATATTGTAATAAAGTTGTTGGATAAATCGATACCATATCTAAAAACTTACTGAAAAATGATTTATTTATAGTAAAAATATAAGCTCGATGCGTTTTTACGTTGCTTTCCTGCAACTGCAGAGGGTTTTTAAATCGTCTATATCTTCAAAACCGGCCATTTCTTAGCATATTGCTGCTCTTTTTTATCGCTAGAAAATAAGTTGGACTTTCTAATAACATCAATGGTTGAGCGATATGTGTAGAGTGTCACCAACAATCTTCAAATGAAGTTAGCCATTTTTACGTTGTAAAGGAATGGAGTACCCCTTTCGAGCATCAGGGGTGACGTCACTCAGGATCTGTCTCTGATTGGTCGGCGGGGGAGTGACTGTACCTTCTATAGATGGCCTTGCACTGAACTCTATAAATATCTGAAACTCCTACAAAAATAACTGAAACAAAAGCGCCGTTTTCGTCTCGCTAATTACGTTTACGTCCAATAGCTAATTTGCTGCATTGTTTAATTTGCAGCAGAATGTTTGTTGATCCTTTTCTCCTGAGAGCCTAAGCATAACATATTTAATATATTTCATTTTACTTAAAATATTTTACCGAATATTATTAATAGTGGTTTTATTTCAAATGAAATAATAATCAAAACGAAATTGGTGTTGTACAACCGATTTATTTTATGATGATCTACCACACTACATGATAGTCAATGACGTCATCTTACCAAAAAATCAAAAGACATAGAATAGGTATTTATAAAAGCTTAGCATACTTATTGGCAAAACGCAGTCGCACCGTGCCGTTTTCGCGTTTTAATTTTCCTTCACTATTGCTATGATCTTGCAATTTATCAACTTGATTTCATAAATGTACCAGATTTATCACAGGCTATATTAATAAGGAAAGGAAGGAATGATTGACCTACCTCACAGGTACCTATCTACCTTCGTTGGTACTGTTGGTAGCCAGTGACACATCTAGGCAGGTAAGTAGGTACTTACCTACCTGCTTTCCTGCTGTCTTCATAAAGCATACCTAATGAAGTTGTCAAATTTGTAGCACATTTTCAACACTTTCATATGGTGTCAGTGTGGCATGAAACCTAGCTAGGTTCATTATGTTCAGGATTCATTTCAGAAGAGCTCCGCATAACTCGCATAAGAGACAGACACGGGCTTTACATGGGGTAGATGGCCTGATGACATAGCTGGAATATGGCCAAAATTAAATTGACAACTTTTAGGTGAAAGGTGGTGATTTGGGTTAAGGGGTGAGTCAAATACTGGGTTATTTTGCACCCATTAAATGAAACTTCTGCTCCAATTCTACCCATTGAACCTCAATATCATGATCCACCTGTCCATCACTAGGTATCCTTCCTTATTACATAGAAACTTTGAATGGCATGGTAATTTATAATTTTAAATGACAATATTTTTGTTTCTTCTGTAGGTAGGTACTAGGTAGGTAGGTAGGTAGGTACACCAGACTGCTATGGACACTTTTCCAAGATGGTGGGGCAAAAACCTAATGTATGTCTTGGTTTGAGTCGTTTGATTGAGTTGATTGATTCCTTTCATTGTCGCGTTTGAGTCGATTGAATCAATTCCCGAAAACTGCTCTGACTTGATTGATTTGATTGGTTTCCCAAATTTGTCGTGATTGAATTGATTGCTATTGATTGAGTCGTATACAACCCTGGTTGCAACTATGATGTTCATGTTTGGATATATCCAATTTCGATGTTTTTTTCGGTACCTTTCTATCTATATGTAAAGTTGAGGTTGTATAAGATCGTCGGATCGGCCTAATATGCCTCTTCAAGTAATAGCGATTCGGCCGGACACCCTCACGCTTAGAAGGCTCAGGTCATTGCTGGTGGTTACAGCCGAATGATCTAGCCCTGCAATTTTTTTCCTCTCCACCTTTGAAATTCAAGAACATTTTTTTATTTTGTTTGTACTTTGTATATTGCACAATCAAAATAGCATGGATGGGCAGTGGTCACAACAACAAGAATGATGTCTTGATTTTAGCAAAGTCACGGAAGTAAAAAACAAAACACTAGTCGAAATCTTCGTCTAGCAATGTATCCGCTTAGCGTCCGAACTGGTTGCTGGTGGCCTGGTTGTTGGCGAACTGATTGCTTCCGAAGATCCCTGTGCTCTGACCCACGTTGCTGCCAGCGCTGTTGAAGGAAGCTCCACCGCCGAACGCCGAGCCCTAAAGGAAAAACGGAATGCCTGTCAGCATGCTGAAATTCGGAGGTGGTTTGTTTTCTTACGGCACGGTCCTGTAAATACCCCCGACGGGATAGCGATATTTGCTAGGGTATGCATAATGTCACCCTGGAAAATGCAGCGAGCCTATGGACCTGATTTCCCGACTACATTTTTACATATAATGGTTTTTGTAAGATAGAACAAGATCCGACTGAAACTCGCCTGTGCGTTAGCAAAGCTGTTCTGAATCTGGCTGTTTCCGAAGAGACCACTGGTCTGTCCCTGAGTGGATCCAGAATTGGCACCGCCAAATCCACCACCGGGTCTAAATCTACCAAATTGGGGCTTGGCAGCGGCGGCCACCAGCAGGCAGGCGAGAACGACGGCGACCTTCATGACAGGGCTCTGAAACTGGGGAGGGGAGGCGTTACAAATTCAGTCACATGAATGGTTTCTGAGACACACAAACGTGCGAAAAGAAAACACTTAAGATAAACACTGTGAAACAGTTAACTCGTAACTGCCTAGTGCTTAACCAGCTCAATAACTAAGAAGATCATCCTAGCCAGGGCACTAAATCCTTGCGACGGCATACTCAGCTATAATGTAACACATTATAAAAATACCTTTCTGCAACTTAATAAAGGTGGATTTGGCAGCTGTGTTATCAATGTTTGGTACCTATGATGTGGGATATGATGCTTACCTTTAGTTGTGGACGGTGCTGTACTATCTCAGGTCTCGACTGAATGACCACTCTGGTGCCAGCCGCGGTTATATAGTCGTCATGCTGCAGGGTTTCCCGCGCTACAACCAGTCAAACTTGTTATGACAACGTGGGCCTGCTTATGCTACGAAAATTCCTACGCAGAATACCGACGGCTGGTGACGTCATTTATAGAACAATGTTGATTTGTCAGCTGTGACAGAGGATTAACGGGATATGTTTGACGAATTCTATGTAGCGGGGAAACCCTGGCCACCACTGCCCTCAAACGCTGACGATATAGTTAATCTCTGTGATAAACTGTAGAAATCCATGCATTTAACCCGTCTGGTCTGTGTATGAACCCAAACCCAGCCAGCAGACGAGGTTTTCGTACGATTGGATATTTTTTCGGAACATAAGAGTCGGCTAAGCTGTTTTCACGACGGACTTTCTAGAGAATGTACCTAATTTGACCAAATCTGCAGCAAATCTCTTTTACAACAAATATATTCATATCATGAATTTAACCCTCGCCGGACCTATTGGTTTTCTACATACGCGCCGGCCGAGGGGGGGGGGGGCGGGTACGACCCCCCTCGCCGTTTCGCCCCTGGTGGAGCTAGCGCGTCGCGGAAAAAACGAGCGTGTGCGCCGTTACGAGACGCAGAGATTGGTACCCGATTTTAAGGTCCTAGGTCAACCGGTGACCTCTGAGGTCAGGTCAAGTGCCCCAAGGTACGGTTCAGTTTTTGGTAAATAACTTCGCAAAAAATGGCCGCAGAGCCACGATTTTGGCAGCATCGTGTTCGTCTCGTTTAGGCGCGTCGAATGATATACTTTTTCTTTGGGTTAGGTCAAATTAGGGTGTTGACCTCAGGTCAAGGTCAGGTCAGCACCCCCAGGTCACGAAGCTGGTCGAAAGAGGTCATGTCCCATATCATTCGATTTGGTAGGTCTTCCTAAGTCCATTGGTGGCTTTCCCGACTCGCTAGCTCAATTTGATCGGGAGTTATTGACGAAAAACTAATATGACCTTGATGACGTCATAAATGACGTCACGCAAGGTCAACATTGCAATAGTGACCATATAGCCTTGCAAGGAGTGCATCAAATCACGATTATGTGTGCTTGAGATAGTTGGAGATCGTTCCCGGCGCCAGAATAGCAGTTTTCATTTTTCCCCATTTACTTATAATGGTGATGTCACGAAAATGACCTGACCTCATATGACCTTTATGAAAAATCCGAGATATACAAGTTGTGAGACTCATAATGTATACTAGATCCTGCAAGTTTCATTTCCCTGTGACATCTCCTCTGGCAGTGAGGGCATTGCGAAGTTGCGACATCTGAAGACCGTGCAGAGGTTCACTTATGACGTCCTAGGTCAGTGACCTGACCTGACCCAAAAATGCGGTTGGTGTCAAAAGATCCGGCTTGAATCAAAGGTCAGGTATTTTAAGAAGGTAATGATAAGAAGGACAGGTACTTTAAGAAGTTCTACCAGAGGGCTTTCCCAACATTTGGGTAATTGGCCTGATGGTTCTGTTTTCTTCATGAACGAAAACATCTTTTTTCCCTCCAAAATACTCTTCGGGAACTGCTTGAAGCTTGCGATTCGTCGCTTGGTAGGTTCATTTGTGAGTGAATTCAGGAAAGGTTCTCGATGGTTTTTGACTCAGGCCGCCCCACAATGGACCTCGCATGCGGGTCGCGAGTTTTTGTGTTTTAGGGTTTCTTCAAAAACAAATCATACAATCTAAGCTGAGTGACCCATACTATAAAGCATACTATACTATACATCTAAAAAGCGAGTCTGTATGTTTTTAGATTGCGAGCCACCTTGAATCCTATTAAAAAAGTGGATTTTCAGTCAACTTTCGATCTTCCTCGCTGCGAAGTCTGCAAGTTGTGCGAGGTTTGCGGGTTTTTCGTTAGAGTCGAATTCAGGTTCGTAGCGCTGGGTTTGCGACTATAAGGTGTACCGGCTTCACTGTGTCTGTATTCATGAAGTTACCATAAGGGTACGGTCTAATCACTCTATGAATTAGTAATCACTCTAATCACTCTATGAATATGCCTGCAAACTCAAAACCGGCAAACTCGCAACCCGCATGCGAGGTCCAGTGTGTGGCGGCCTTGAGTATGTAGAATCTCTAGCATTAGGGAGAGATAGAAAATCATTATCGGGTGACGGACAAAATGCCGAAGGAGGTCAGCCCGTGGCTGTTTTTTACCTATATCCCCACTCGGGCACTGCTGAACTCGTTCAGTAATTATTCGTATACACTATCCACTATGGCTATACATCTATTGATCCACTTCAGTTCATTTCCCACGTGTGTAGCATGACTTTGATAATTTTACTGGATTTTCCAGGATTACTTAGAACCATGAAAACAATTCCCGTTGATTTAATATGACTAATTTCAACACAATAATCGTGTCACTCAAATGCCGCGCAATAATTCGCGCGGAGGCCGCTACTACACGATTCTGGGAGCCGGCAGACAGGTTCCGAACACATGGACTTTCCGCCACGGCTTACCGGCTGGATAAAAACAACCCCGAGCGGCGACTGTCATCACTCAGAGAAAGATCATACCGGTGTCTCGACGCCCCCAGCGTAACGGTGAGTGAAGTTGACAAAATATTTACTATTACTTACAAAGTGCTTACCTACACGGTGTTTAGTGGCCAGCCCATATGTACAGGTAGCCTATATAGAGCGAGAATCTATTTTTTTTCAAGCGGATATCGGTTGCAGTGCAATTCCCTTCGCAACAATTCAGTGACATGCCTCTTCATCTTGTCATTGTCTTAAGCGATGTGTCAAACTCGTTACTGGCTCCTGTTTCTCACTTTTCAGCTCCCTCATTTAAACGTTTTAACCGTCTCTGTTTTCCAGAATTCCGTCATGAAGACCGCCGTCGTTCTCGCCTGCCTGCTGGTGGCCGTCGCTGCCAAGCCCCAGTTTGGTAGATTTGGACTCGGTGGCTTTGGCAGTGCCACTGGAGGAGCCAACTCTGGTTCTTTTCAGGGGCAGTCGAGCGGTCCCTTTGGAAACAGCCAGGTCCAGAACAGCTTCGCGAGCGCCGGGGTAAGTTGTTTTAGCTAAAAAATTTCAACTCTGGTACCTATACGAAAAAGTGCTCTTTTTTACAGTAATTTAAAAAGTGCCTGATTCTGAAATAGTGTTCAATCTTTAACTTTGTCGGGCAGCATCTGGCTTTTATATTTAACATTTAGTCCAGCACATCAATTATCTCATCGAAACCGTTTAAAGCTAATACATTATTCAAAAGCCTCCAGTGTATGGATGTTTGTTTTTTGTTTTTTTCCTTCCTAAGGAACTCTACAAAAACACAAGGCGACGTGCAAAGTTCAGGTCATTAACGTGCAATGTTCTTTTTTCCAGGGTTCTGCTTTCGGTGGCGGCGCTTCGCTGAACAGCGCTAGCAGCAACGTCGGACAGAGCATCGGACTGTTCGGAAATCAGCAGTTCGCTAACAACCAGGCCACCAGCAATCAGTTCGGACGCTAATTTTATATATCCTTACGGAGCTGTGACTTGACCATCCACCATGTGAACCTGTCTGTTTTTGTTATGGTTGTGAAATTGCATGATAGTGCGTTTCGATGTGCAATATGGAATGAAATAAACGGGAGATGAGGATATGCCGTTCTGGATCTGGATAAATCAGCGCAGTACTGTATGCACTAAAACGTAGACACATTCGGGAAAATAGTACCTAGGAAGAAAAGTATAAATCGCCAAAAGTGCAGTGACCCGAGGGTACAACAACATTTTTCCTGTCGCTCCTCGACTATGGTGCGAGCGTGCGCAGCAGGCGAGTTTATATGTGGTTTCACGACGCAGACAACGATCGCTTTGAAATTTTCAGTGATTGATAAGAACAACAAGATGTGTAAAATGTTAGTAGTATAGGTATCTCGGATTGACTATGTATGTGACATCGCGTTAGGTCAGATTCGTTACCTCACCATTTTAAAGGTAGTGTGCCAGCTTTCCTGGACCGTATGGAGTTAATGGCCCAGATAAGGAGAAACAGATTTTTAGAACTTATCCATACCTTCAAAACTCATGGAAACGTCTTAAATTCTTCAAATTTTGAGTACCCCAGTGCGAAATTCGCCCCGACGGGTTGTCGGTCGTACCCCAACCACATTTCACACCACTATGAACAATAAATGCACACACTGAAATGAAATCGCTATTACCGATAGGCTCATCCAATCAAGTTTCGATAAACCCGTTCATCATCATCTCCTGCGGTTTCGAACACGCCTGTTAGGTGGTGCGGTAGACCAGAGTATATAGAACACCCGGTAGACCGCGCCCAAAGCCAGGGCCCCGGTAACGTGAGGTAGCCGAGTCGGGGCAGAGTGCGCTGACCCAAGCCGGGGCCGCGCGTCCTCCCAGTGTCATGTGATAGCCCGGGGCTGCCCGGGGATGTGGTAGACCGCGCCCAAAGCCGCGGCCCCGGCTTGGGTCAGCGCACGCTGCCCCGACTCGGCTACCTCACGTTACCGGGGCCCTGGCTTTGGGCGCGGTCTACTCATACTTTGTGGTGCGGTGGTGGTGCGTCGGGCCGCGCGCTCTGACTTCGGCCAAGAAAAATGCGTCAGCTGATCATTGTCATTTCTGCCACTTTCATGTGGTGAGATGGGGTCATAACTTTAGAGACGGCTGTTTCATATCAATTATTTTACATAAAATAATATTTCAAACCATAAATTAATATTCGACAGCCAAATTAAAGAAACAATACCAATACAGGCTTACAGTTTAAATTCGACATTGTGTTGTCTACGATTAGACAGCTGATAACTCATTCCCGTACGTCGTAACTCTATAATGACCTTTGCTTATTGTCACATGTGCGCCGCATTCGCGATTGTTGCCGACGCCTGTTTGCAGGTCAGCCCACTACAGTTGTTATACATATCGAAAAACCGATAAACTTTTAGGCGAAAAAAGCACTATTTTAGGCCCATTTTTGCGATATTAGGTAAAAACAGAAGCTTCTTATCCTAGGAAAAATAAAATGGGAAATCATTGGAAGGTGGCACACTATCTTTAAGGCAAGTGAGAGTTTCGTTTCGACGATACGGATCAACTGATATGCATGACCTTTTACGGCCAGGTGATTGATGACTTTGACCTGAGGTCAAATTTTTAAGCTGACCTTTTGAGATAAACTTGTAATTTATTCGAAGCGTCTTATCGAAAAGAACACGATGCTGCTTAGAGAAGGCTTGCGGAGATCTTGAGTCAAAAGTGTATGCAGAAAAACTGTCTCCGTAAAAAACATCTATTTTGGCAGTTTTAGCCCTCAACAGGCTAAACCGTTGGGCGTTGAGCTTAGGTCAAATCCGAGAGAATTGCTCAAAAAGACCGTTAGAAGAGCTATCAAATACGCTTTTCCGCGGCGCTCTAGCTCTATCCGTTCTTGAGCTATGATGATGATGATGATGATGATGATGATATTTATTGAACAGAAAGTACTGGAGCAAAAGAGTAAATCGGAGATTGGTGCAGAAGCTCAAGGCTTAATTCGGGGCACCTCTCTCCGTGCACACTCATTCACAAACATACAAGCTTACGTGCAGACTCGTACCTATGCTTTACACTATACACATACATACAAACACACACTCTTAATCACTTGTACTGGCACGCGCACACGTAACAATTTTTGGCGTATCAGGTAATTGTTGTGTACTATTATTAGCGTCACGTGCATACATGCACTCACACACGCGCGCTCACACACACACACACACACACACACATCGCATTTTCAAACAGTTACACTACACTCCATCATACGCATCATACATTCACACACAATCAGTCATTAATGTCTCGCGTTCATTGCACATCAGCGACCGCCGCACGAGGAGGGACGCCCGCCCACAGCGCCCCGGAACAGCCGCCGGGAGCCGCCGCCCCACGCGCCCGAGAGGAGTTTTGGTGATCAAAATCTGTGGGAATTAATTATGTATTTCTGGAAACAGCTTGCCACCTCTCGTCCGCTGCCCGGGTTGAGTAACTCGCCATGAAGTAGCATCTTAAGTTGTTTGGATGTTGGCAAAGCTCGAAAGTCAAGATTGAGAATTGTGGATAGTTCCTCGAAAAGCGTTTGTCGAATATTATTGTATGTAGTGCAATGAAGGATGTAGGTAGTGTTCCGCAGTTTCAAGTGAATGGCCGCATGGACAAGAGGGTGAATCTGAAAGGAGTAATTTATGGAGGTGTTCGTTGAGTTTAGATGCTCCGACGCGTAGTCTGGTGTGCAGGAGATTGCCGCGCTTGGAGCCGAAGGTAAAGTACTCAGGCGGTCGTGGAGGGCCAAAATGTTCGTGAATTTGTCGTTTGAAGGAAAAGAGGTTTGGATGGTGGACAGAGGGGGGAAGGTCGTTCCAGAGCCGGGTTGTGCTTGGTATGAATGACTTCCTGAAGAGAGTAGTTTTATTAAAGGATTGTGTGAGAGTGCTGGAATTTCGTAAATTTCTACCTGTCTGGTATGCTCGTGTGTCAGGAGTAATTGAAAGAACATATGGTGGTATTTGAGGATCAGCTGTTTTTAGGTGATGGTAAAGTAGAAGTCTGTGAACTTTGCGCCTGTTTTCCATGGAAGTCCAGCCCAGTTCCTCCCTCAGTCTGTTCGTCGGTGTTCTTGTCATTGTTCCTGTAATAAGTCGGGCTGCGCGATTTTGAAGTCGTTCAAGTCTGTTAGCGTCGTTCCTAGTTATCAGTCCGTCATATACTATGTCGCAATAGTCGAAAAAGGGCCGTATGTAGGTTATGTATATTTGGAGGAGAATGTTTCTTGGTACGTGTTTTGCGATAGGATAGAGGGGACCCAGAGCTTTGGTTACTTTCTTTATTATCTCGTTTATGTGTGTTTTAAATTTGAGATCAGAAGACAGGGAGATGCCAAGATGTTTGTGGTGCTCGCGGACGGGGATGGTTTGACCGTCAAAAACTAGTTTGGGAATGCTTGGGGCGTTTTTGAGTGAGAATGTTTGTTAATCTGTTGAGTGCTTGAGCAAGGAGCATAATACAAGCGTAATACACAAGTTTTAATGACCGGATCTCCTTGAAATTACCAAAATCGAAAAAGCTACATATTTATTCGTTGGTATTCGTTGCTATTCGATAAGATACAAAAAAGTGATGAATTTTCGGTCACGGACCTTCTTCTGATCTAACTATGTTTTTGAAGTACAATTCAAACAAGATTCCTAGCGAACACATCTGCAAATAAAAGTTTCTTTGCCCTAACCAGCACATGCACAATACACAGCGACATCTTCCTAATGCATAAACAGCCTATGTACCCTTCATGTGGCCTAGATAGTCGATAACTTTTGTTGTCACATATTTCGCTCATTAATAACACACATTAGCATTACACAATGCCCAGACACTTAAGGCTCAAGCAGACTACATCAACAAAAGACTATCGTGGCAGGTCAGGTCAGCGAGTCTATAGCAGTGGCCAGGACATCAAATTCTCGTTCAGCGCAGGTTTCCTATCACGAATAAACAGCGATTCGGTTATCTTCCGGTCTGGGTGATCCCGCGTTCTCTGAAGGATCGAAATGCGAAGCAGAGACTTGTTTTTTATCACTCCCTCATGCTCAGTCCGGAAGTGATCCCCGAGAGGGGTATTTTCAGTGTCAGCCAACATGCTCCAAATGTGTTCATTGAACCTTAGCCTGACCGGTCTTTTGCTTTCTCCTATATATGTTTTACCGCAAATTTCGCATGTCACTTCATACACAACGTTTTTGTCTGTGCACTTCCCACCCGATATGGCCAAACACGTCGGACATGCCCTGGAGCCAGCGGGGCAAGGAGGCTTGGTGAGATCTGAAGAGACAAGGGATTTTTTAAGAGTGCTAGAGCCGTACCATCCTAAATGAACATTCAACTTTGACTTTTTAACCGCTTTCTTTACCTTACACAGCACCGTCTCATCAACATAAGGAAGCGTAAGGAAAGCGCGGGCTTCCTGTCTATCATCTGACCTCCTCCGGTCCTTACGACTGCGTCCATTCCTAAGGTTG